TATATCAAAATATACTATAATAATTAAGTTTTAACCACATTTAGGTATATCTAACCTTGTAAAAAACTTATATTAATATATATATATATATATATATATATATATATATATATATATATATATATATATATATATATATATACATACATACATACATACATATATATACCCTAACCCTAACCCTATACACACACATACATACGTACCTACATATATATATATATATATATATATATATATATATATATATATATATATATATATATATATATATATATATATATATATATATATATATATATATATATATGAATATTATATATATATATATATATATATATATATATATATATATATATATATATATATATATATATATATATATATATATATATATATATATATATATATATATATATATATATTATATATTTTAATATATATATATATATATATATATATATATATATATATATATATATATATATATATATCAAAATATACTATAATAATTAATACATAGTTTTAACCACATTTAAATATATCTAACCTTGTAAAAAACTTTCACTTTTTACCAATTGTGTTTTATTATCAAATGCATCATTTGCATATCAACAAAACATTTATACAAAACTAAATTTTAATAGTTTTATATGAAAGTTATGTTGAGAAGTATAATGATTATAGCATAATGAGTGCTAACTTAAATGAAATTAAGGATGTCATCAAGTCGACAAGTTATTAAATTGTTTTGGAACTTACTTTAATATAATATAAGCAATGGAAAAGTTTTCTATTTACTAGACTAATTAGAATTGTAATTGATACACCCTATCTTTTAACAGTAGAACTACTGAAAAAAAGATAGGATGTATCAATTACAGTTTTAATTGGTCTAGTTATCAGAACAGTCTAACTTTTACATTTTACAACACTAACTTTTACAAAACAATTTCATTATAATAGTATTTACTATAGTAATAACTTTTACAAAAAAAATAATATATATTTTTTTAATAACAAAATATATCTTGTAAACTTTTAGTTCCGCTTTTAAAGTACCATCATAAAAAAAAAAAAAAAAAAAAACATTTAAATAATGGCAATTATGGCAAAACGACTTTCGGCTCTGTATCCAATGCAATCGGGCCAGTGCTGGCCCAAAATCAAATGCCGTCGTAATGGCTCACGACTACTCGCCAGAGTTCTGGCATTTCGTCGCACGCCGCTGCGACTTCTTACGATGATTTACCGTACATAAAAAGTTGCTTGAGTCACTTGCCAGAATCGCGCCAGTAATGGCCCGTTACTAATATAGTCGCAATGGCGTGCGATGATTCGCCAGAGTTCTGGCCCGGAGTCGTGTGCTGTCTGGGATCTTATATGCCTTAAAAAAATAATTTTAATGATAAAAAATTTAGATGATAGCATATTTAAAACTTAAACAATTTTTGTGTATTTCGTTCTCCTTTTAAACTTTGTTTATATTTAAAATTGGATAATTATTACTTTACAAGGTGTTTATTTTTCATTTAAACGCACGCGTTTTCATTGTTCTTTTGTTTGCGTAATAAAGTTAAAGACTTAACGGCAGGTAAAAGTTCTTTTGGACATAAAACAAAATTGGAGATGAAACAAAGCGATAGAAAGTAATTTATAATGCATTCTTTATGTCACAATTTTTTTGGCTTCAAGAAATTTAGCTTTTAGAATTATTGTTTTTATATTTGAATTTATATTTTACATTAATTTATTTATAATTTAAAAGTCAAAATTAAAAGTTATAATTGGGTATAAGTATGGATTACTATTTTGATAATTTTTTGTTTGCAATTAGAATCCAATCAAACCTTGTTCAAAAATGCGAATGGAAACTTTTCGAAGCTTATTGCTAGCAAGCCTACAACAATGGTACTAATATAGAAAGTATTTACAATAGAGTTTAAGCTTTGATTAGGCAGAATAATCTACAAGCATTTTTCATTCCTTGCTCTGCTCACAGTTTAAACTTATGTGCAGTACACGCTATTGAATTATCGGTTCCTGCAAAATTCTATTTTAAAAATATTCAAAAGCTATACAATCTGTTCAGCTGCAGCCCAGTTCGTTAAAAAATTCTTCAGGAGGAGACAGACTAATCATTACATAAACTTTCTGTTACATGATGGAGCTCAAGGGTTGAAGCAGTCAAGCCACTAGAAAAAAGCCTAGAAAGATCTTGAGATCATGACATCGTCCATGGCGAAAGTAGTAATGAGGTATATTATCAAATTTAATGGATGAATTCTTTTGAATTTTTTGTTTTCACTATTTCTTGGTATAAATGTTTGATGGTAGTTAACAATGTGAGTCTTTAGCTTCAATTCACTCAACTAACTCTTGATGATGAAGTAAAGATTCTAAATGGCTATTTGACAGATCTGGATTAAATCCGTTTGTCTTGGGACCTTATTGTACCTGATATAGGCAACAGAAGTTGCAAAGAACTTGAAATTTAATGAAATTATGTTTTCTATGAAGAGAACGCAAAAAAAGGTCTTTTCTGATGAAACTGATAGTTACAACCACGAAGAAGCATCAAAAAACTTTGAGGTTATGTCTTTAATGTTGCACTCAACAATCTGACTAGTTAAATGAGATCAAGATTTAAAGTAATGAAAGAGGAATCTAACAAGTTTTCCTTCCTTTGGTCTTCACAGATAAAGAACTAGGTTTAAAAGCTGAGAACCTGGGTAAACGTTACCCAGAAGACTTATGTAAAAAAAAATTTCTGATAAAGTTTGGTATTTTTTAACTGTAAGAAAAAATATTTTTTTTTTTTTTTTCAAGTTGATTAAGGTGCCCCAAGAAGTCCTTACGGTCTTATCACAGAGCACCGCGGAAGAGCATTTAATAGGAAGTTCACGCCTCCTTCCCAACCGATGTCGCAAAACTTGCCCAGAGGTGGGGTTTTAACCACGGATCTTACGTTTCTGAGGCAAGTGCGCTACCACTGCGCTACGGCTGCTCGTTGAACATTCTAGCCAGCAAAATACCTGTCGAACTTCTAAACGAAGTTTATGCAAAGGGGTTGCATTCAATGTTTCTATAAGTGTGTGTTTCACTTAGAATCTTTCAAACATTGCCCGTTTCAATATCTGAAGGTGAAAAATCTTTCAGCAAGTTAGCTATCATCAAAGATTATCTTCGTTCCACAATGGACCAAGAGTGATATTGCTGTTTGATGATCCTTTCAATTGAATCAGATTTAGCAAATACCGTTTCTTATGAAAAAGTTACGTTTGCCGCTAAGAAGGCTCGGAAGATATATTCGATATTAGAAAGACTTAATTTTACCATAGTTTGCTTTTAAAGACCAAAATTAATTAAATGTGATTTCAGGTTTTCTATGAAAGTAATCAAAAAATAACTATATTAATTTATTTGGTATTTTTCATTTTAAGACTAGATATGATATGGCATCCATTAAACTTTTGGACCCGGTCATAACAAGAACTCTGGGCGGGCCTGCTTACTAGTACTGGTTTATCTCTTACAACTTAAGAACTATGAGTTAGAATTTTATGTACAATTTGAGGCATTGGAAACCATGCGTACAAAGAAAGCTAGAGCTCTGCTATTTCTTTGGTATATTTTTCAAGTTCACTAGCGTTAATTTGATGTTTGCACAATAAAAAACGAAGAATTACGTAGAAAAATTTTATGAGATTTTTATTTGAAATTAAGTATTTCAGCAGACACCTTATAGTTTCGGAATACTATTTGTCCTGAGTTTCCACCATTTGTTGTACTTGAAATTGAAGTGATCTTTCAACTTTTGTTAAACAATAAACTTTTTTTTTTTAATAATATTTTTTGCATCCTCTCCTCTAATTTACCACTTTCCTTCTTCAATTCCATAGCTTATATGAAGGCAGCATTCAAAGCACCTAATCCATTCGAGCTATATTTTAAAGGGTTAGTCCACAAATACTACATACTTGAAAAGCATTACTTAAAGATAAAACTATAATAACCACTTTTCCATCAATCATCGTGCTTCTAGCCTATGTTTTATAATAGAGGAAGTAATGATCGTTGGTTTCAAATTACTGTTCTTGAAGGAAATATATCCTTTTCTAAGAACCTGAGCACTTTCCTTTACATATTGAAATCGTATTGGACGGTAGTAAAGTGTGGAAGACGGTTTTTCATTAGTCCATAGTGATTTGCCAGATTCTTCAATGCAAAGTTTTATTGGAACAATGTAGGATACGAAATAAAGGTTCTCCCTCAACATAAGTGATACTTATCTTTTCTTTGTATAATGGTTAGCCGGTTGAACCATCAAATCCTACTTTGTGTATAAAAACAAGAATGGATTTCTCAGGAGCCTTTACAGATTCATTAAGTATTTTTTAACAACTTGTATTTAGTATGGTCAATAAAGCTCTGTAAATCAACTGATGTTGAATAATCAGTAGTTTCACAACGAGGTATGCATAAATTTTTTTCTTTCCTTACTTCATTACAAGTTTCTTGACTGTCCAGATTACACAAGTTTGTGTTTTGACACCTCATGCTAAATAAAGTTTAGATGTCAGAAAAAATGTCCTGCTGGCGTAAAAAAAATATTTTCAGAAGATTTTATGGTGAAACCAGTTAATTGTCAAGCAACCCCCATTGGGCTCTCGACCCTCAGTTTGGAAACCGTTGCTCTATACACTACCAATAGAAGCCTAAGGCTTTGATAATAATATAAAACTTGCATCAATATAAAACGAGTAAATCAATTTTTAGTTAAATTTTTCAATTATTAAATATTTTAGCAATTTTTCTTATATATTGTTCGTTAAACCTACTTTTGTATTGGTTTATGTAAAGCAATTATTTTTTACAAAGGGTTCATTTTTCCATACAATTATCAATTGTATGGAAAAGTCGATTATTAAATCGCCGGTTTTGATTTTCGACGCTTTCGACACTTGACCGGCTTTATATATATAGCGGCTTTCACACGTCATATGTGTGATATTTCCCCTAAAATCAGAGTTGGACAGGCTATGCAGTTTTTTGAAATGTAGTAATGTCAAATTCCATGAACATTAAGCGGTTAATTAAAATCATCGCTGATGACAACAATGTTGATGAAAAAATATTTCATGTGTTACATGTAATTATGTCAAAAACAAAATCAAACCAATTAATTGAAGAAATTTACAATCAAAGTGACGCTTTAAGTAGTTTGATCGGTCTTCTCAACAAAAGAGATGGAAAGTACAATTCATTGGTCTTGTCTATATTAGCAAACTGTGCTAATATTCATCAACAGACAAGAAAAGATGTATTAGATTTATAAATATTTTTACTTTATAGGTTCTCTCTCGTGCAATCAGACACTTACAAAGGGAACTGAACAATGTTATTACAACGACTTTTAACCCTGAAACAAACAACTCCATTAAATGGATTTATAAACAGGGGAAACAAGTCGGGTGTATGTAATTTATTATTCATATATTACTTATGCTGATTTTGCTTTCATAACAACAAAGAGGGCAGAAGCAGTATTTTAGTTATGAAAATGGGTATAAATGCCTATTATTCTTTTATAGTTACTTGAGATGAAGCTGATACCGCTTGTTGGTAAGTTTTTCTTGTTTTCTACTTTAAGCTTATTATTTTGAACAACTGCAATATGCAAAAAAAAAAAAATTTCTTTTGCTTTTTAGCAAATCTAATGGAGAAAATAAATAGCTGTGAACAAACTAGCAGAGCTATAAGACTTTTATCAAATCTTTCAAAAGACCCAGTTTGTTTGGAAAAAGTTCAGGAAAAAAATGTAATTGATTTAATTATTAAACATGGATGTTGCCTTGAATTAAAATGCCAAACTGCTTCATTACGTGCTTTAAGAATCATATGTGTTACTAAAAAATCATCTAAGTTTGCTGCTGAAAATGACCAATTTCCAAATCTTCTTGCTTATATGCATTCTAGTAATCAAAATGCTATTCTACTAACTCTACGTATGTTATGTGGAATGCTGAAAAGTCAATCGACAGAAGTTTTTTATAGAGCTGTGGAAGAGTCAACTCTACAAAAAGTAATTCAGCTCTCTAGTGTTGAATGTTATTGTGAGGTTGGCATTGAAATACTGTTTCTACTTACCTTAAATAGCGGTTGTCGAGTTGGTGTAGCAATGGAAGGAGGAATTGAAGTTTTTATTGACCGTATTAAAAAAATTGACCATTCTGACACATTTAAGTATGCTACTCAAGGTCTTTGTCTTTGCGCAAGAGAAGCTGTTAGTCGAAACCGGATGAAAATAGCTGGAGTTTTACCATGGCTAGTTAATATTTTGCAACACGATGATTATATACATTTTCATGAATCAATTGTAGCTGCATTTGTTTGGTTTTTGTTTGATGATTCAAGTTTAGGCTTATTAATAAGAGCTAATACTATTCCTGCATTGTTAAAATATTTAGATCGTTTAACTTACATTGAATATTGTCAAAATCAAGATAACAGCGAAGAAAGTGATGATAAAAATAATGCTGACATATTAGTTGAAAATGATCTAAAGTTAAAGCGTGAATATGATGAGACAAAAAAAAGTGATTTATTAAAAGATAAAACAGGTATTTCTCAAACCTCTATAGAAGAAGATATAAGCAGGCAACTTTGGTGTTGCTCTTCTCCAGAGTCTTCACCATACAACCCACAATCACCTCATTATTCTATCCCATCATATTCTCCAAATATTTCACCTAGTTACTCTCCTCCTATGTCTCCATCTATATCTTCTCCTCAAAACTTGCTAGAACAAGACTTTTCAGACATTAACCATGATAATGCTAGTTCACCTTCAAATTCATTACCATATCACTATCAAAGTGCTGATGGACGGCTTTCAATGATACATGGAACAAGGGGTCCTATTCATGACATTTTATTGCTTTTATCAAGGTTTTCTCAAGCCCGTGACCCTAGCACTTTTTTTCTTGACCTCCCTGGTTTTAATTCTTTAAATAACTACCTATTGTTGTCCTTTAAGCCGAATCCAAAGTGTGCTAGAATATTAAACAGATTAACATTAAATTCTCACTGTTTTGATGTTTTAATAAAGCAAAGATTAATACCGCGTCTCTATTTGCGTCTTTGCACAGGCTGGTCTTTAGAATTGCTCTCTATTTTACTAAATAAAGCTCGTGAAAAGATGAATAAAGATCCATTAATTAACAGTCCAGATTTAACAGATTGTGTTGATTTTGGTTACCTTAACATCACTAAAATGCCTTCAAAAACAACTTATGATTGGGGTAAATTTTTAATTTCTAATTTACGATCACAAAGTGAGTCATCATATGGTAAAGGTGTTTTTTCACATATATTTCTTACTGGAAGTATGGAACTTAAAGAACGATGTGTTGTTTCCCTTCCTCATGTTGTATGGTAAGTCAACTATGTGTATATTAAGTTGGTTCAAAAAGCAATATTTTTGAAAAATATATGCTG